TACGGCGATTCCCGTAATACCAACCTTCGATGGATGCTGGCCATGGATATTACCAATTTGCGCTGCAAATAAAATGCGAACAATAAATATTTGCCTGCACTGATGAGGATATCACAAACAAGTTAACACGTGGCCGAAGGACCGCGAAGTGCGAACACGTGCGGGACGGTGTCGAGGGGCTATCAGTGTCCAAAATCAACAATATTGAATGTGCAATCTTCTGGGCCAGGAGCACGAGCTGGGGAAAAAGACAATTTGTGAGACGATTTAATTGCTGAGGATGATCATAATTTCTTTCAGAAATAAATAGAATAGTTTTTATGTATAAATAAATATTAATATTACCTATTAAACTATTTTGGTATTAAATAAAATAATAACTTGATCTTTGAACTTAAAAAACCAATTATATTTATATTTATGATGTTTTTAAAATCTACAAAAAGAGCACAAACTGAGCAGTGGACAAATAAAGAATGGCTTGTTTATAGACGTTGATACAAAATATAATAGGAAACATTTTTGGGCGCGCTTAACAAAATTCCGAAAAATCCTTTCTAAAAAAACGATATACATTATATCAACTGTACGCTTAAGGGAATAAAAAGTCGATATAAGTTTTGAATGTTGCTCTCAAAAGAATATATATATTTTTAAAATAATATATATATAAAATATAGCATTTTAATGGTGCATAAAAAAGTAAATTAAATATTTCACAAACGATATAGTTTACTTAATAACTTCAAGAATATTTTAATCGGCTCTGATTTTCCTCGAATTAGAATTTTACTTTGTTTCCTTGTTTTATATTTTTCCCTGCGCCATTCGCCATACGAAACCGGGCAAATCTTTTTTCCCATAATCGCATTAGGTCGCCAGCCGGATGAGCACTAAATCAAAATCGTCAGCCACTACCCACTCAATAAAAGCCGGCGAAAGCACCCATCCAGCCATTTGATTGTCATTGTCCTTCAGCTGGAGTACAAGCGTTTGAAATTTAATTTAACGCATTTACATGCAGCTTAAGATCTCCGGCTCGGCCTCGGGCCATGGTAAACAAATCAAATGTATTTAGAGGAGTGAACCGAGCCCAACTCAAACAAAGGGAAGCGAATGAAATTTCGAGTCCGGTGAGAAGAAGGAGGAGGAATTTGCGGATCGGATCGGATAGGAGGGTGGTTCGGCTCGGTTCGCCCGCTTCGAGCGAGTTGAAAAACTCAATATTTGAATAACTTACTACCGTGTGGAGAGCAAACTTTCAAGTGAAGACCGAGGACAGTGGCGGGTCGCAAAAGGACAATTATTTGCTTACGCGTTGTCATTCAAATTGAGTTTTAATGTTGGGCGGCGCGCGTAATCCAGTAAATCCCATTCCCGTTTTGTCCCGGTTCTCAGATGCAAGTGAACGGATTCCTGGCGGCCATGTGGGCACCATTATTTGCTCTATCACGTTCACGTACTAAAAGTTATGAGGACATTATATGTACAGCCGTAGTAAACACAAATATCTATAATCTTTATGCCCTCCCCCCGCGGGCATTCCGTGCGTCATTCCGGCCGAGTTGGAAGTTCGGAGTTCAGAGTGTTCGAACTCGAGCTGAGTACACATGTACGGGCGTAATTGTTTGCCGATGTCCTTAAATGTCGTGAGAATATTCAGTTGGTTGGCCTTTGTTTTGTGTATCTTAAGGAGGAGAATGCCTGTTGCGCCCCTTGATACCGATTATAAGTTTCAAAATGTGTTGTCAATGAATTTCAATGATCAACTAATCGTTATTATATAGATACTCTATTTTAACTACGGAAATAATCTGTGATCGGAATCGTTTTCCTAAAAAATCCACAGATTTAAGAACTTTAGTGCCAAAAAGTCTTATAAAGCTGTTTATCTAGTTCTATAAAATTACATTTTCATAAAATCTTGTTTATGCTATTTCTGACATAATTGTAATTTTTATCTAGTTCTATAAAATTACATTTTCATAAAATCTTGTTTATGCTATTTCTGACATAATTGTAATTTTTATACCCTTGTAGAGGGTATTATAATTTCAGTCAGATGTTTGCAACGCAGTGAAGGAGACGTTTCCGACCACATAAAGTATATATATTCTTGATCAGCACCAATAGCCGAGTCTATCTAGCCATGTCCGTCTGTCCGTCTGTCCGTTTCTATGCGAACTAGTCTCTCAGTTTTAAAGCTATCGCGATGAAACTTTCCCAAAAGTCTTCTTTCTATTGCAGGTAGTACATATGTCGGAGCCAGCCGGATCGGACCACTATATCTTAAGGCTCCCATAGGAATATTCAAACATATCTAAGAAAATTCATTGTTACTTTGTAGGAAGTAGGCGTTTTAATTCTTGACTACTTAAAAACAAAATTCAAAAATAGAAACGCTGAATCTGGAATCCCTGGAACTGCAACGAGTGAGTATTACTTTATCTGCAAGGGTATATAAGCTTCGGATGGCCGAAGGTAGCTTCCTTTCTTGTTCAATATATTTTTACCTAAATTATACCTTTCGAAACAAATAAATACAGCCTTTATAAAAAGTTGTACAAAAAATTATTTTTTAATATTGAAATTATTTTTTTAAGTTATTTTCATTTTGGTCCTGAGAACCTATTTATCTTTTGGAAGTATTTTACAATATATTTCAAAAACTTTTTATTAATATAACGGTTTCAGCCAGAAAAAAAAACAAAAACTCAGCTCATCTTAACCGAAATTAGACCGCTTTTAGTATTAGAAGTACGGTAAAACTCACCAAAGTGCAATTATTTCGAATTAAATTAAAAGTCGACGGTTAAGTATGAGAAAATGGTTGGCTTAACGAGAGCTTTCAATTAATGTTACCAACAAATCTGTCGGCAGCTGCAACTGCATAGTGAAACCTAGTCCCTTCTCACTTGAGGATTTGTGGTTTTCCATATTACCCAGTCCCCTGGTTACTGAACAATTTCCATATTATTCCAAATCCGAATCGTTGCCTCAAGTGTTTTTGCGCAAAAAACTGTAATTTTTATTCATTTCCAGGACGCAGTCTGAAGTGCCTGCTAAACGATTATTAGCAATTTGATATAACTGCATGTAAGTACAACACGAGAACAAGTCAACAACGGATTCGCCTACACACACACCCACGCACGTGCGGCCACTTACATAAGAGGATGTCTGTGTGGGTGTGTGTGCGACAGCTAACAGTGGAAAATCACTTCAGTTAACTAAATCCTCGCAACAACCATGCGCCGACTGCGACGCAGCAGCGCAGCTTCCTCAGAGAGAGCGAAAGAGAGGGGGAGAGAGAGAGAACAGCCAAAAAGGACACTGCCAAAAGCAGCCATTACGGGGGGCGTGGCTGAGCCAAGAGAGCCAATCAGAAGGCGAGGTCCTGCGAGCAGAGGCGTCGACAGCAGCAGAGGCTGCATAACGACGAAGGGGGGATGCAGGACGAAACCAAAAAGGAGGCGGGAGAGTTAAGCTCATTGCCATATTTTCGCTATGCTCTCTTTTGAATTTACTTTACTAACAAAACATGACTGTTGGGAGGCAAAAAGGAAATTGTTTTATCAAATGGGTTTCCTTACGCTTTTTTATTATGAAATTAATTTCCAACATCGTTTCGCAGTCGTTGACGTTCCACTTCCCCACATCTCCACTCGTTGGCCATTTTCCAGTCGCACTCCTCCCCCCTTTCACCATTTTTCCCTCCCGCCTTTGAGCATGTGTTTACTCTAGTTTTCCTTTGGAGCTGCCTTAGCGTTCCTACTTTCGTTTCATTTCGTTCGAGCATTTAATGGAAATGTTTGCATAGCCATCTTCCCCTCTTCCGTTCCTTTCCTTTCCCTTCTCTTCGCCCCCCTCCGTTTTGTTTTTTCCCCCACTCCTCTGGCAAAGGCATTATTATGCAAATCTTGATTATGAATTTAAGCTCGGCAGACAAATTAAATTCATTTGCCACTCGAATGGCAGAGATCCTCAAACTTTTATTTGATTACCTTTGCCTTCATTTAGCTATAAAGTTCAAAATGAAACGTAGTAAAAATAAAATTTATAAAATAATGAAACTGAAACTGTTGCCTACATTTTGGGGCAATAATGTCAAGATTTTGAAAGTTTTTTATTTAGTAGTTTTCTTGGGACCAAAAAATTAAATTGTTTGTTTTAGTCTAGAAAATTAATTTCTTATCTCGGTTCACGACAATTAAAAATGTATTCTAACTAATTTTTTCAGCCATAGCTATTAGGCCTTAAGCCAGCTACGGGTATTTATAGAAAAATATAAATCGATCTCCGATCCCAATATTCAACATTGCAACATTTTGTTCCACAATTTTGTATTATTTGTATAGCCAATAGACAAGCATTTGCGTAGCTAAGAGTATGTGTGACATATGTTATTTAGTTGTAAGTGCAATGAAAGAAAAAGATAAAATCGATGGGCATTTCTGGTCAACACTTGATGGGCTTCTCCTCGCGGAGTGTTGAGTTCAGCATTGGCCAAATCGCAACAACAAATTAATAACTTGATAGGGGCAATAAAGGCACTTGAGTACAACCTTTTCCCTTGTCGCCTTCATACCTGCGGATGTAACCCATATTTTGACCGTCTTGGGGGAGCTCCGTAATATGTGAGTGGTGTCATAACAGACAGTGAAAGTTACTCAATGCAATGGAAGCACCTCCGGCAAATCGATAGCACTGAACTGCAAGGGTATCAATTAAGAAGTCTTTCAATAAATGTAACAATAAAAAAAAAAAATTAACCACTAAACCATTCAACGTAATAAAAATCATTTTATTCTATTCCGAATTTTTTTAATTTTCGGAGAAATGGCACTAAATGGCCAGGTAAAACCAGCTAGAACCAGGTGGTTTTCTCTGCCCTCTTTTAAGCCAAACCATGCAGACCAGTGTAATCGATACGAAAATCATACTCAAAATAGAATGGCCACTAAGTCAGTTAGCAAGAATGTTCGCCCGCTAATTGTAAAATCAGTTTAGGCGCACTTTTCAATGGACTCAAATCGGGCGCTGCCAACGCGGAATATTCACAAATAAGAAATTATTAAAAAAAATTGATTTATAAACTTGTAATTGATTTGTTGCGTTTAATGTCCGGTCAGTGAGGCGTGAGTTTGGCTTGGATTACAAAGCAGTCGATCCCAACCTGAGAGGATGGTTCAGTTCCTGGGAAAACAGAGCGCCGCTGGTGGTCAGTGTCCATTATGTGATTTCATGACCAACTGCTAATCAAATTTGCAGCTAATCCGGAGGGAACATGACCTTGATGGAGGATTTAATGATCTATAAACGGAATACTTCTTATAAATAATAATTTAAGATGAAATACATATTTATGATAACTAAAATTTTTTCACATTTAAATACATTAAAGATTTCAGTAAATACATGTTTATGACTCAAAAAAATTTTTTTTTTATATTAAAATTTTTTATTTCTTAGCCTAATTCTATAATTTTCATTATAAATAAATAAAATTTTGTTAATTTTTTTTGTTAGCATAAATTTTATCGATTTTCAAGGTGCAAAAAAAGGGTCAAAACATTTTTAAAAAAAATAAAATCAGTAAGAATATTTTACTTTTTTTATATGTGCATAGCATAGCATTGTTTAGTTTCAATTCAATTTAATTCAACTATTTTGATTTATTTTATTTTTTGAAAATTAAATGTGATTGTAACCCAGCCGACACATTCTGATCAAAAAAGGAGTTAAAAATCAACTTTTTAGAGTCGGCCGTTAAAAAAAAATGGTCCTTTCTTCTTCTAAAAAGTTATAAGGCGTCACTGTGCGAAAGTTATTTTGTTAAAACGAATTTTGTTCATAAGAACGATTTAAATGCTATATTTGGATTATGAACAGGACATCTTTTGTTAATTTTTCAAATTTATTTTTTTTTAAACCACTTATATTCCATTCGCAGAACTAATTCACATGGTGACGCTGGACAAGACGGGCAAAAAGTCCTTTGGCATCTGCATAGTGCGCGGAGAGGTTAAGGACTCGCCCAATACCAAGACCACCGGCATCTTCATCAAGGGCATTGTGCCTGACAGTCCGGCGCACCTGTGTGGTCGCCTCAAGGTGGGCGATCGCATCCTCTCGCTCAACGGAAAGGATGTACGCAACTCCACTGAGCAGGCGGTCATCGATCTCATCAAGGAGGCAGACTTCAAGATCGACCTGGAGATCCAGACATTCGACAAGAGCGATGACCAGCAGGCAAAGTCAGATCCGCGGAGCAATGGCTACATGCAGGCCAAAAACAAGTTCAACCAGGAGCAGACCCCCAGCAACAATGCGTCCGGAGGTCAGGGAATGGGCCAAGGTCAGACCCAGGGTCAGGGCATGGGTATGGGTGGCATGAACCGGCAGCAAACGATGCAGAAGCGAAATACCACATTCACGGCTTCGATGCGTCAAAAGCACAGCAACTATGCTGATGAGGATGACGAGGATACCCGCGACATGACCGGTCGCATTCGCACGGAGTCGGGCTATGAGGTGGGTTAACTTATGCTCCATTAAAATTTCCAAGTCAGCATACATGACTAATAACCCTCCTTTAGATTGATCGCGCCTCCGCCGGTAACTGCAAACTAAACAAGCAGGAGAAGGATCGCGACAAGGAGCAGGAAGATGACTTTGGCTACACGATGGGTAAGCATCTTCTGGCCTTAAAATCCTATATTCACACAGCACGTAAATGCCATTCCCAGCTAAGATCAACAAGCGGTACAACATGATGAAGGACCTGCGTAGAATCGAGGTCCAGCGCGATCCCAGCAAGCCACTAGGACTCGCCCTCGCTGGGCACAAGGATCGCCAGAAGATGGCCTGCTTCGTGGCCGGCGTGGATCCCAATGGAGTTTTGGCCAGTGTGGATATCAAGCCGGGCGACGAGATCGTCGAGGTGAACGGCAATGTGCTGAAGAATCGCTGCCACTTGAACGCCTCCGCGGTGTTCAAGAACGTGGATGGGGACAAGCTGGTGATGGTCACCTCCAGACGCAAGCCCAACGACGAGGGCATGTGCGTAAAGCCCATTAAAAAGTTCCCCAGCTCGTCTGATGAGGTATGATATTATAAATTGTATAAATGATAATTTTTCTCAAAATTTTTACCTGATGTAATAATTATTATAATTATAATTAATTAAATAAGTAAATTAGGTTCTCCTCTGATTGAGTGTTCTCCTCCTTTCCACAGACCAAGTTCATCTTCGACCAGTTCCCCAAGGCGCGCACGGTACAGGTGCGCAAGGAGGGATTCCTGGGCATCATGGTCATCTATGGCAAGCACGCCGAAGTGGGCAACGGCATTTTCATCTCGGATCTGAGAGAGGGCTCGAATGCCGAGTTGGCGGGCGTTAAAGTTGGCGACATGCTGTTGGCCGTTAATCAAGATGTAACACTGGAATCCAACTACGATGATGTGAGTCTTGAAACTATCTAAACCAATAGTTTTTATCCCTTGACTTCTTGACCTTAGGCAACTGGACTGCTAAAACGAGCCGAGGGCGTTGTGACCATGATTCTATTGACTCTCAAGAGCGAGGAGTCCATCAGGGCCGACAAGGAGGCGGAGGAGAAAAAGAAAGAGGGTGAGCATTCGCTTTGAACAAGGTCATCTAGACAACTCTTTAAACCTGATAACCCACAGAGGCCAAGAAAGAGGAGGAGAAGCCTCAGGAACCCGCCACAGCCGAGATCAAGCCCAACAAGAAGATTCTCATTGAGTTGAAGGTGGAGAAGAAGCCGCTGGGCGTAATTGTCTGCGGCGGCAAGAACAACCATGTCACGGTGGGATTTCTTCGTTTTGACAATAATTTAAATAAATACCTAAACTTAATCTTGACAGACTGGCTGTGTGATTACCCACATTTATCCGGAAGGAGTAGTGGCAGCCGACAAGCGACTGAAGATCTTCGACCATATTTGCGATGTGAATGGTAATGCAACCCACGTGGGCGCCATGACGACACTGAAGGTCCATCAGCTGTTCCACACCACATACGAGAAGACGGTCAACTTGACGGTCTACCGCGCCGATCCGCCGGAGCTGGAAAAGTTCAACGTGGACTTTATGAAGAAACCCGGCAAGGAGCTGGGCCTCTCGCTGTCGCCCAACGAACTTGGATGCACCATTGCGGACGTAGTACGTACATGACATGAACAAGCAACTAGTATCTCATCACTGAGATTGCTTTCTTTGTATAGATACAAGGACAGTACCCGGAGATCGACAACAAACTGCAACGCGGCGATATTATAACCAAGTTCAATGGCGACTCGCTAGAGGGCCTCACGTTCCAGGTGTGCTACGCCTTGTTCAAGGGAGCCAACGGCAAGATATCGATGGAGGTGACCCGGCCCAAGCCCACTCTGCGCACCGAGGCACCCAAGGCCTAGAGACGATCCTCCTCCTCCGATTTCGAAGCAGTGTAGCATTCAATAAAACGATCCGAAAGTTCTAATTCAAAACAATCTTGTTTTCCGTTCTGGGTTTATTTGAAAAGGAAACTCCTTAGGCTATAGAGCTTGCATTGGATGCGATACGGGGCCACAGATCAGCGCATTCCTTGGCCACGGGACCAGTGATGGCCGAGCCCTTCATTTCGCCCTTGTTGTTCACTATCACCCCGGCATTGTCCTCAAAGTATATAAACACCCCGTCCCTCCTCCTGAACGGTTTGCGCTGCCGAATCACCACGGCAGGCATGACCTGAAAATAGAAGGAGATATGAATTAGTTATTTTGTCATAGAGTGAGATCTAAAGAAAGGTTAGGAAAAAATTATTAGCTAACCAAAGTTAGTTAAATAATTTCAGTTGATAGTGTTTCTTAAATGATAATTTTCTGGTAAATCCAATTAATTTTGATTAAACAACAAAAATGTAATATTTTCATGGGTAAGAGACATTTTGTGGCACGATAAATTAAGACTACAGTTTAAGCCATGAAAATGTACGGGAATTCAGAGCTTATGCCTACTTTAGATGAGTAAAAGGCCCTGAAAAGTGGTATGCTTTTTTGTCTCATAAAAATATTAATTTAAATTATCGTAAATTTACTAACTTATAGCATTCTAAAATATAAAGCAAAAAAACAAAACATTATATTTAACTTTTAATTTACTATTTGTAATCATTGATTAAAAAAATATATATAAAAGTGAGGCAAAAACGTGTTTTTAAGAGATAAGCTATCTATGCCGGCAAAATAACATGTGGAAGATACTATAGGTGAACATTTTTATTAAAGGAAAATAATAAGCTGTCCATACTACCCTATAAATTACTTAAATATTTAACAAAAATAAATAACAATTTGTAATACTAGAAACAATTAGATGAAAGATTTTATTTCTGAACAGTTTTGTAAATTCAAATAAAAAACTAAAAATGTTGGCATTTAGCCATATGAAAATCTGGCCGGTAAAAATAATAATAAATCAAAGGAAAATATGTTTAAAAAACAACCTTATTTTACGCTCTAATCATAGATAGCAGTTAAATAAATTTAAGTTAGTTGAGATAGTTGCTAGATTAATTTCTTTCATTCAAAAACAAAGCAAATTTCATTCACGAAAAAGCACAAAAACAAAGTGGGAAAAAACGTGTTCACTAGGTGGGTTGTTGGCTCGTAGCACGCCTAATGGCTAGCGGGTTTTGGGTATACTAAATTTGCAATCCCCGGAACGACACTCACCTTTTTCCGGAGCTCGGGCTTTCCCTTCTTGACGGTGGCCACGAACATGTCGCCGACGCCAGCGGCGGGCAGACGGTTCAGGCGACCGCGGATTCCGTGCACGGCGATCACGTACAGGTTCTTGGCTCCGGTGTTGTCGGCACAGTTCATCACGGCGCCCACGGGCAAACCGAGGGAGATGCGGAACTTGCCTCCCGCGGTACCTCCACGTCCTAAATGGAGACACAGAAACACACAAATTAGTCTGGTACTCTCCACCACTCGGCGGCGTCACATTTTTCACGCCTCAACCGCACGTTCCGAATCGGATTTTTACCTCTCTTCGACATTTTGCTGCTCGCGGGCTGGTTATTCCAAGATTATTCGCTAGTTTGCCAATGGGATGGTTCAGTTATTAGCATTAAGAAAAACGTGGAGAATTTATTCTACTTACTTCGCCGGAAACGAAAACGAAAAGGAGGGAAATACGGTGTGACCGGGCGTCTACCGTCAAAATATACCGCGAAATATCGACAAAATAACCTAATTATAACCAAGAATATGTGGGAAATGGAGGATAGCTTGGCTAGAAATCTAGCGTAGACTCAAACCGTCTTCGTTTCTGGGCAAAAGAAAACAAGTTGGCACGGCTGGTCATTCTAATGGCTTGTTCACACCACGCACCGCAGCATAATCAGCGTTTAAAAGTAAAAACGGGCCAAAATTGTCTTACGTGTGCTCAAAATAATTATACCCGTTACTCGTAGAGTAAAAGGGTATATTAGATTCGTGCACAAGTATGTAACAGGTAGAAGGAAGCGTTTCCGACCCTATAAACTATATATATTCTTGATCAAGATCACTAGCCGAGTCGATCTAGCCATGTCCGTCTGTCCGTCCGTATGTCTGTCCGTTTCTACGCAAACTAGTCTCTCAGTTTTGAAGCTATCTGCTTGAAACTTTCCCAAAAGTCTTCTTTCTATTGCAAGTATAAGTCGGAACCGACCGGATCGGACAACTATATCTTATATAGGAAAGATAAAAAAAAAGTTAAAAAATTCTAGCTTCGGTTTTTTTTAAAGTATTACCTTCTACTCTTGGGGATATTAAATTTTAAATATTTCTGAATTTCGAATTAAATATTTAAAAAATCGGACGACTATATCATATAGCTGCCATAGGAACGATAGGAAAATGAATGGGAAAGTAATAGGAAATAAATTTGAGCTTCTTTGCTTTTTATTGTATTCTCTTCTACTCTAGGACATGGCTCTTTTTGAATGTTACCGAATTTTAATTTTATAGCTTATAGCTGCCATACACTCAGAAAATGAATCGCCCTGAATTTTAGAAAATCGCCTATGGATTTGCTTCACTGGCGATTTTTTTCTTTAAAATAAAAAAATTTTCTACTGGTAAAGAAAATTTTCTTCCAATTAATCAAAATTCATTAAATTCAAGAAATATTCCAGAAATATAGAAAAAAATCGCCAGTAAAGCAAATCCATAGGCGATTTTCTAAAATTTTTTTTTGAGTGTAGGAACGATCGAAAAAATAATGGGAAATTATTTTGAAACAAATTATAGCTCCGTTGGTTTCTATTGTATTCTATTCTACTCTAGGATATGATTTTTTTTAATATATCCAAATTTCTAATTAAATTTTACAAAAATCGGACGACTATATTATATAGATGCCATAGGGAAGGATAGAAAAAATAATGTTAAAATAATACGAAATTTAATATTTTTGTGATTTGTAAGTTAATAGGAATGATCTGCAAGCGTATATAAGCTTCGGCTGGCCGAAGCTAGCTTCCTTCATTGTTTTATAATAAAATTTCTAGTTTTGTACTCCTGCGAAATATATTTTTTTTGCTTTAAAAATTGGTTTTTTATTTGTTGTGAATTGTGTTACATTTTTATTGCGGATTTAAACAGAGTATCTATATTATTATCCTTTTGCTCCTTGTACTGGCGCTTGATGGCAGGACACAACGGCATGGGACACTTCTCCGCCTGACACTTTACAGCATGATAGCAGCAGAGGGCGGCCACTTTTCTGCAATGATGGCACGTTTTTTTGCTCTGACAGTTCTTCCAGTGCTGCAGGAGGCGTTTTATGGTCTTGCAAGAGGGTCGAGGGCAGTTTTTGCATTGGGAAGCGTGAATCAACGAGTGGATACATTTGTCATAAAATATTCTCCGTTGCTGGTGAGCCGAGGCGTGATAGGCTTTAGAAATCCCGTTTGCCATATTTTGCAGTTCCTTAAAATCAAACAGAATTAAAAATGTTACGGTCGATTGAATTTTTTTTTAAATGTATTTAAATTAAATACTAACCACCAATAATTGTAGCCAAAATCAACAATTGTTACTGAACGTTTTTAAAGTCCGTATCGTCTACGCTTGTTGAATTCTGAATTGAAACTGAATTCCTTTCTTCAAGTCCTGACTTGGGATACTATTGTGAAATGTTTTTTACGGCCTGGACAGGGATCAAACTGCTACCTGAGCGGATCAAACAACACCACATGTAAGCGATACCATTTTGGGTTAGACACGCTTGTGTATTTGTTTAGCACAGCGTCCTTTTAGGATTTTAGATATTTATGGTTCTTGAGTATAGATTGCAGAGTCTAGACTCTAGAGTCTATGTACATAGATAAGTACATATGTACATGAACGGAGCTCATAAAATTGAGTAGTTTATGGCCGGTTTGACTGGGGCTCATGTGGTGGGCATTTCAGAGAAATCTACGTAACATTAGTTGCATCCTGAAGTCCTGCCGTCCCTGTAACCAAAAATTCATCAGTAAATCATCGAATTTAATAATTTAATAATCCTCAGTGAGGAAATAATGTATTCAAACGTTTTTCAAATTTTCTTTCCACCTATGTATTTACCCCAGTCAATAATGTGCCCAAGAAATTAGGAATTTATGAATTGGTGTACAAATATTAAACCGCCGTGTGGGACATAATTTTTTTTTCCAATTTATTACAGTCATATAGACCTTGTTTTTATGCTTACACATAACAAAAGGTTACCAAGCATAATTAAGATTATTTTTTAATGTGTAATCTCTCCTGGCCTGCAGCAACTCCCGCTCAGCCTTCAGTCAGTTGGTTTATCAGTTCGTGGCACTAGCTAAAACCTCACAGTTGGAAATCTTATTGTTTTTCTGCTCGAGAATAAGTTTAATCTTCGCGCAAAACCAAACGGGACACTCCTTCTCCACACAATGTTTTGCGTGATAGCAGCAGACTATTATGAAGTGATTGCAGAGGGTGCAACCTCCCTTCGCCTTGCGCCGACACTCCTCCACATGATGAATCACGCGCTTCATCTTGTTGCACTTGGTCAGAACGCAGTAGTAGCATTTCCTGGCGTGGTCCAAAGACTGGATAACGTTCTCGATATCCGAATGTCTCTCGTGGATCCTTCCGCGTTGCGCCCGAGCTGAGTCTCGATAGCCGTGAGAAACCCCGTCTGCCATAGTTTTTGGAACCTTAAAATTAAAGAGAATAAGATAGATACTCATATGTATTAAATGATGGTCCATTGGATATTCAATATTGCATTTCCCGTTGGTGTTTTCATAACATTAAATGCTAACCAAAATAACATGCTAACATCAACCAATTCTACAATAAATATGCTTTATGACTCATGCGAAGAACTTTTTTGGTGAGCATCAGAATAGAAATTGCGTTTCACAAATTTTGTTCGGTATGTACAATGTACATTGTACATATGTACATTAGGGTGGACTTCTTTAAGGTCAACTGAGCTCAGCATCTTAAATGGTAGGTTTCTGTGTCCAATAAATTTATGCGAAAACAGAAAAATTTTATTTCATCGTTTAGGCGGTGCGCAATGGCCCTAAAGTTTCGCTAAAAATTAAGTGTAAAACTAGGAATTTACCCCATTTCATTTCTTGTCAGATTTTAACATGTCAACTTTTTGGTTTCGCTCAAATAACAGAGTCAAGTAGAAGTTTATTTCAGAAATATTAACAGTTGGACGTAGCCTAGCCAGTAGAGCTTCTGTCTCCGAACAAATAGGACCGAGTTCGATCCCCGGCTCACCATTTATTTTTATGACTCACAATAAAATAGAGATTCTATTTTACAATTTTGAAGATTAACTATCACTTTTGCGTTCGCCAATAAAAATTTTCGTCAAAGGATACAACGATATTGACTCTTATTTTTCACAGACCGTAATATTTATAAGTTGTACTCTAAAAATCCTTGATTATTCGTTATTATTGTTATTTTTAAGTTGTAATTGTCTCTTAGGGACTCGAATTTTATCAACAACTTCATCCCTTGTTAAAAAGCTCTGGAAAGTGATTAAGATACTTTTTAAAATACTGTCAAAGTATAAAATTAAGTCTACGGCATCTAGATGAATCTGAAATATGCGTTATAAACTTTAAACCCGTTGCGCACCGCCTAGAACTAATTATTTTTTACTTTTTCTTTTTTTAATGGATTAAGGATACAAAAAGGCTATATATGAAGGGGTGAAAGCATGGCCTTAGAAATTTCATACAAAATAAGTCCACCCTAATGTACATACAATGTACTTACTTGTAAAGGAAATGAGATTTTATTTCATAAATTGTTGAAAATAATTGGAGCAGCCGTGTATGACTCAGATTTTTTTTATGAGAATAAATTCTTATATTGAGAACCGCACTTTTAAGTGGTCCACAGTCAACTAATTCAAAAATGCCCCTAAGTCAAGCTTTTTGTCATATGCCATATTCTCCTTATCTTTTTCTTTTGCTTACTTTTTTCTGATATTTTTTTTGCGCTCTTAAAGTTGACTTTTTTTTCAATTTCATCTGCTTATCAGTTCTATCCATGGTGGAACTATACAAGGTGATCTCGTCGCGAGAGCTGCCCTCTTTTGAGGACGTTATTTGTGTCAGTCTCTATCTAGCTATCTCATTCTATCGCCTAAGAGAGACAGAGAGGTAAACATATTTAACGTCCTCAGCAGAGCTGACGAGACCACCTTGTATAGTTCCACCATGGTTCTATCAAAAATGTATAATTTAGGCAGAAACATGGATGTATCCTCAAGTACTGTAGACAAAGGAAAATCAGTAGATCATTAAAAAACGTACGTTTTATTTATGAATTGCCTTATTGGCAATAAATATAATATTTATTCCGTGGGAATAGTAGTCAACTGAGTGAGATGTATTTACATATACGGCATTACACAATATTCTTATTTTGTGGCTGCTTGGTTTTCTGCTTAATACGATACTTAATGTTGGCGCAAAACGGCATGGGACACTTATTCTCCTGGCAACTTTTTGAGTGATAGCAGCAGAGGGCAATGAGTTGCTTGCATAGGGAGCATCCTCCAATCGTCCCGCGCTGACACTTCTTCGAGTGCTGCACCACGCGCTTCATCTTGTTGCATTTGGTCAGGATGCAGTTGGAGCATTGTACGGTGCACATCAATGACTGGATACAACTTTCGATCGACTTCATGCGTTGCGCGCGAGCTGCGTCTTCATAGCCGTGAGAAACCCCGTTTGCCATTATTTTTGGATTCCTATAATTAAAGATAATAAACGATATTTACTGTTCAATTTATTTATTTTAAATTCAAAGTATTTGCAACACAGAATGCTTCTATGACTCATGCACAGAGCATCAGAATAACAATAAGAACATGTGTAATTGCGTTTCAAACACTTGTACTTACGCACAAAATCAGATTTATTTTTAAGAATTGGTTAAAATGCTTTGATCCACAGTTTTTGAGCCGGATTTCTTCTATGAAAATAGGTAGATATTTAATACCGCCTTTTTGAGTGGCAGTCTCATTATCTTTGTTTGCTAAGTATTACTGCATGCTAGAGTGTGCGAAACATATGTTGTTTTCAAGACATACTCATACATAATAACCTGTTTCCACTGGTACGACCAGCTGATCCAAGTTTCTTGACCATTAAAATGTCACGCAATGAAACAAAGTTAAAAAAGTTAATAAAATTTTATTTTAATTTAGTTCTTTCTTTATCCATGCTACTACAAAGACTTGATTAAATAAAATTAATTAAAAAAACAAACGGGATACTCTATAACTTATAAGTTACAAGGCAATTAATATATTTTAACCTTTTTGTTGTGTTCAAGGAATCTGATCAGTTGCATACTGAAAAATATTGGGGGATTAATCTCTGTATTTTGATGATAATATTTCTTTAAATAATATTTTTTATTTTATTTTCTCCTTGCTCCAGTTCACTTGAGGAGCTCACTAACTTTTGCGCTCACTGTACTCGGAACTAGTTCAGCTGCATACATCTATGTATGCTCCCAGGAAGAAGAAGCACAGAACCAGCTGTTTCTTCGCTATTATCAACTGTTGATTGCATTGCATTGTTCGATTCACTTCGCCCATTCGGAGGCGAGACAAAGAGATGTGAAAAAGCCCGCAGAACATTCCAAAACCTGAACTCCGCCCACCAAGATGCATTCCGCCCAGGCGCAGGCTCAGGCCCGCGATAAGATATTCAAGAACTGGAGGGGGATCAGCGAGGTGACCATCATCAAGGAGGTGGCCACCAAGGGCGAGCACATCGACCTGTGCATGGAGTACTGGGCGCAGAAGAGGAAGATCCCCGTCCCGGAGTACCGCCACTACTTCTACGACGTGGTGCAGGCCTATGTGCAGCGCCTGCTCTCCGAGCGACTCGTTTGCAAGGCGGAGGATGTGATCCGAAATGTGGACCGTGATGTCAAGTGCTTCTTCTTCCAGTTCGCCTGCGAGTGCCAGGACGAGGAGCTGTGTGAGTTTGTGCTGGATCACCTACGCAGTCGGGAGCCCTTGATGTACGAGCAGGAGGAGCCAGTGCTCGCCTATCACTGGTCCCTCGTCCAGCAGCTACGGGAGTGCGGCTCCCTGGTGGCCAAGCACCGGGCGCAGCTGCCCCGTGTCCACATAGAAGCCTTGATGACTCTACCGGAGGAGGCACTCCAGTTGCTCCTCGTCGAACTGTACTTCGCCAATGGCAATGAATCTCTGCTGGGCTCGCTGTCCAAGAAAATGGTCTGGCAACACTTGGTGGATAGTGACCAACAGGCGGAGCTCCAACGCTGGTGTCGCTGCCAGGAGGAGGGTTTCGAGGCCCAGGAAGAGCTGACTCCTTTGGAACAAAGCTTTGCCGCCTGGAAAATAGATGACACAATGTACGAGTACGCCCTGGAGCAACTGCAGCAGCCCGGCGAAGTGCTGAGAAACTTCTTTGCCCGCGCGGGATACTTTTTCAACGATGAGTCCGGGGACATTCCAACTCTGCTGCGCCGCCTTTGCACCATGGAGTGCTTGGGAAAGCACGCTGATCTCCTCAGCCGTCAGCCTCTGGCTAAATATCTGCTGGATCGCGGCCAATACCC